TGGTGCTGAGGGAGCTGGTGCTGAGGGAGCTGGTGCTGAGGGAGCTGGTGCTGAGGGAGCTGGTGCTGAGGGAGCTGGTGCTGAGGGAGCTGGTGCTGAGGGAGCTGGTGCTGAGGGACCTGGTGCTGAGGGAGCTGGTGCTGAGGGAGCTGCTCCTGTCCCATCGCTGGTTTCTAGGGTCAAGACACCTCCCTTGCTACAGCCTCCTTTCAGGTCGTTTCAGAGTGCCACGAGGTCTCCCCTCAGCCTTCCCGTCTCCAGACTGAACACCCCCACTTTCCTTAGGTGCTCCTCATAAGACTTGTTCTCCAGGCCATTCACCAGCTTTGTCGCCTTTCTCTGGACTCACTCCCAGCCCCTCAATGCCGTGCGGGGCCCAAAATTGAGCACAGTGCTTGAGCTGCAGCCAGTACAGCCTTTCCTGCCTGGGTATCCTTCTCAGAGGAGATTCCCAGATGTGATCCCCAAAATACATACACGAAACCTCAAAAATGGACATCTTTTCTGTACACTGTCAACCTCTGATCGATGGATCCTGAAGGACTCCCTCGTGTCTTTCATGCTTCAGGAACTCTGACTCAGCTGTAGATGCTGAAATGCAGCTCCACTCACAGCTCCCTCTCCTGACAGCTTTTGTGTTGATTTTTCTTGACTAACCAAGCTAACAAAGGACCTGTTGGGAAGCAGAAGTTAGACAATGTTATCAGCTCCCTTTGGGTGGTGAAACTCAGCCAGGATGTTAGCAAAGTGAGGTAAGAATCCCCAGGAGAAATAAAAGCACTTTATTGCCTTCAAAGCACCTTCTGATTCATCATGTGAATCGACAGGAGCGTGAGGAGAAGATAGGAACGCTGGGGAGACAATATAAAAGCAGATCCATAGGTTTGTCGTGTGGATTCTGCACCCAGTGGTGACGTGAGCAGGGGCAGAAAATGTTTGCTAAATTGCCCAACAGTAAGTTGAAGGCACGGGGGATCCCAGCACACTCCCCTGAGCTTGGGAAGGTACATGTGGCCTGTGACTGTGCCTGGACACCATTCAGCACCTCTGCTCTGAAAACTACAGGGCAAGCTCTGGCCCTTCCTGGGGAGTTCCTCCAGAGCCAGGAGCATGGCTGGTAGCTCCTCCATCAGTGGAGTAACTCGGGGTATCTCTTCCAATCCCATACCCTCTGTCCTTGATGTTCAAACCTGGTGGCTGGGCCTAAGCCTGGTTGCTGGGCAGTTGAGTAGATACCTATAATAGAGACATCTTTCATGATGGCTTTTTTCCTAGTTTTAGTCTGGCCAAAACACTTATTTTCACATTTAGCAGAATGGGCTAGACCTTTTATATTTATTTATATGTGGTCCTGAAAGAGTTGGGCCACGATCCAGGAAGGTACTTAGGTTCTTACTTGATTTCAGTAGGATACAGATTCTTTATCTATTTATAATTAATGCTTTCATTCTCTTTTAAGGTGGTTCCTAAATTGCTGATATGTTGGTACCCGTGTACACTCTGAAGTCTATGTCATACTCTTCCAGAATGGGTTGATAATTGATGATGGGTATTTTTGAGATTCTTAGGAGGATTCTGGTTATCTGCCCTCAGTACCATGCAGTGCCAGAACTCCCAGCACACAGTGAAATGACTGCTCCAGGGACATTTCATGTGTGTAAAGAACCTTGCAGTTCTTTACATTAACTGTCGCAATTATTATTTTCTGTGCCAGTTCTTCAAATTGCCTCCAGTTGGCACAGCCTTCTCTGTGTTCCCTTGTGCTGTTTCTGGTCTGATGGGTCTCATTTTGGCCAATCTGGGGATGTTCCTGCTTCCCTACATGAGTTTCCATGGTGGGATCCCCTCAAAATCACATCCCCAAAGTGCCTGTTGTTTCTTTCCATCCAGTCTTCACAGGGGCCCAGAGTTTAGGGGCAGCCTTTGAGAGCCTGTGCTCGGGGTTGTCCTTCAGATGAGGTCAGGATAATTTGGGAATCTTTCCTGGTATTCGATTGATTTCCTCACCTGCCTCAATGAGCCTATTTCAGGTACATTCATCTTGCCAAATCCACAGCTCTTAGGAAACTGAGCAGTGTTTCACCCTTCTCGTTTAAATAAATGAAATGGTGCCCACTCAAAGAATACTTTGCATCATGGCATCGAATCTCGATCTCGACCGTGTTGAACTTCTGAGTAAGGACAACTGTGAGGTTTCTAGAAAGATCCTCTGATGGGTGTATCTCTGTTTCCTGGTCTGCACTAGAAGCTGTGCAAGATACTCAGATACAGAGATTTAACAACAATCTGAACAGTATTAAGACTAGATCGGGGTCTTCTAGGTATCAAAGTTCTAGCAGATCATAGGGTTCTCTCTTTTAAAATAATTCTTGTGCTAAAAAAATAGCACAGCCTTGAAGAAAGCCAGCTGGTGTTACTGTGCACCTGTCCTTAACCTCATTGACCTTTGTTTTTCTGTCTTTACCTCATTTGACAGCTTCAACTTGTCACAGCTGACCTCATGCCATTTTAAGCCTTTTCTCTTGACATTTGCTACCTGCTCTGTGAAGCTTTTCTTGCAATGTGTCACTGCTCATTTACTACTTCTTTCCCTTTCCCCTTCCCTCTCCCTCTCCCTTTCCCTTCTTTTTTTCTTCCTTCTTCTTCCCTTTCTGCAAATGCTTTTGATTTTGATTCTGGTTACTTCTCCTGACACCACAAAGAGGTTGCAAAGATCATGGATGTCAAGGAAGCCAGAATTTTCTTATACAGACTCATTAACCAGCTGGTGGCCACTCTGAATATCGGATTTAAAAATAAACACACAACTTTCCAAAATCTTTGGATTTCCTAATCCAGCTGTTGGATCAGTGGATAATGATCACGCCCCAGCATCGTGCAGATTGCAGTGAACTATATTACAAAACATTAATCTCACAGGTCCCTGCATTTCATCACTTGTTTTAATGCCACAGGCTGCCTGCAGATCAGGGACCTCGCAGGCCACAGAGGAGGCAGTGCCATCATCAGCACTATCACTGTGAACCGGGGCTGAAGCATCTTTTGAAGGGCCCCTAATCCAATTTAAAGCTGAAAACGTGATTTAATTTTTAACCTATTATTGCTATTAGCAGGTATAAAGCAAGGCTTAAAAAGATTTGAAAATGGTCAATTCCAGTTAATCTTGTTCAGGCTCCTTTCCTCCAGCTATCCTAATCTAGTCTCCAAACTATTTTTAGTAGTCACTGCAGTCCTGTTAATGCTCATTTTCTCGTCAGAGGATTGATTTATTTTCCTTTTTTTTTTTCCCTTCCTATTTTTCCGAAGTCACTTCTGAAAGCAGAAAAGACCAGTTTGGATGAGGAACAAAAGGGAATGAGGGTGAGGAACATGGAGGCACAGGTATAACTGATTCTAAGTTAGGGTGCAAGAGTAAAGCTGCTGTTAATAAATGAGAAGGTCTAAGTTTTATCACCAAATTCCCAGCGTGCCCTTTCCTCCTTGAACACGAAATGGGTCAAGCCGGTTTAATTTCCACCTTGTTCAGATCAGCGAGAGGGTTTTTGGGTCCCTTCCGGGGTGATTTGGCTGCACGTTTTCCTTTCAGAGGCAGGGGCTGCTTTTGGTGGCGGAAGGGTCCCGGTTTGGTGCTGATTTATCCTAAAACGAGAAGGAGCGGCGGCCCCGAGGGGACCTGCCCGCAGAGCAGGATGAGAGCCGCGCCCCCATTGGGCACACCTCCTTCTTCCCCGGCCGCTCATTGGTCGTGAGAGAAGAGGCCTTGAGAAAGCTCTGCTCCAATTGGTCCTCCGTGGTGTCAGCTCTTGGGCCGCCAGCCCGGGCGTAGGGAGAGCGGGCTCTGGGCTGATGTGGGGCCAGGCGCGTGGCGGCCAATCAGGCGCGGCGGCGTCGCGGCCGCCGGGCTCCGCCAGGGGTCCTTCCGCAGCGCGGGCCGAGGAGACCCTATAGCAGCCTTCCAGCGCCTGAAGGGGGCCTGCAGGGGAGCTGGGTTTGACAACGCCAGGGGGTGATGGAACGAGGGGGGAATGGTTTGGAAGTGGAAGGGGTTAGATTGGTATTAGACATTAGGAAGAAATTCTTCACTGTGAGGGTGGTGAGAGCCTGGAACAGG